CTGTTAGCACTTGATTTGACATCTCCTATGCGACTTCTATAAATTTTTACCTTATAACGATGGACATATAAAATGCACTGAAAAACTTTGAACTTTAATCACACGAAAAACCTCTCTTTATGTATGAAACACAAGGAGCTTACAGATAACATTATACTAATCGGATGGGACTGTGACTCTTCATGGACTGAAGGATACGACTACAGAACCACAAAGGGCCATTCTTAACAGCTACCTTACTAATATCAATTAACCATAGTATAACACCTCATGTTTTAATCCCGAATTCCTGCTGGAATGAGATGAGATCCTTAGAAAAACATTATTTAACTTTCCAGATTATTAAAAAATTACTTTTTTTTATAATATTCTACTATTACATCCTTCTTTCTCCTCCTTTACAATTTCTATCTTCATTTCGGTACCTATCATATTAATAACTAAATTATAACATTTTTTCGTTATACAAGAAAATGTTTCTTAAATATAAACACAAAAATGCCATCTTTTAAAATAAATACGCAAAACACTACCAGTTAAACCAAAAATATAAAGCAACCAATTAAAAAAAATTAAACTAAACAGAAATTATAAGAAAAAAAACTAATTGAGAAGAAAAACATAATTTTTAAGAATTTTATCAATATAACGAAATTTATTTTTAAATACGAATATGATAGTTACTGATTTTTGTGTTTTTTGCATGGTGCCGGGTAACCTAAATCAAGGCTAACCAAAAATAAATAAACGGGGATATTTTACCTTTCGGCACAGGTATAATCACAGTTAAAACACCTCGGTAAACTCAATCTTATCATTTTCAATTATATTTCCCACTTGACTATTATTTAAGACTCTAAAATAGCTCTTTTCCTCTTCTAAGGCTCCTGCTTTCATTCAGCTACATCTTAGTTCCTCTTATGACGAAATAGCATGGCACCAAAAACGGGGGTTAAAATACTAATGTGACTAAGAAAGGTTTATATATAACTATATGGAAGGAACGCCCTATGGTATTTAGCTACTAAATATGTCAATAAAATGAGTATCCACGGCACGGTGTTAAAAAATTGAAGCTATTTTAATAAACACGCTAATAATGGAACTATTTTAAAGTTTAGTGGGGCCCGAAAAAAACAGAAACCATGTCTTTTTTTTTTGGACGTTCCCAAACAGTTTTAATTTTTTTCTATTCAATTAAATTGGGTGCAACTAGGAATGTAACTCTCGTGGACGACTAAAAACCTGTTTGAGAGCTCATGTTAAAGATCGAGTACCGGAAAATGCCATTATTAATAAGAAATAATAAAAAACAATCAGAAATCGGGGAGCGGCGCGGTATATATATAATACTAGCTAATAGCACTAGAATAGTGCTATTAGCTAGACACTCAGTTTAGTTAGAAAGCGAGCCGAACTATAGCACTAGCACTAATGCGACCAGACAAAACAAAATCGCATCAGCTCCCGGAACAGGATTAAAGTACTATTAGAACATATCTCATCATGCAGTGCTTGTTAGATAGGCGTTTGTCTTTGCTACTAACCTTCAAAGTAGTAGTGTACTATATGACTTAGCTATTTATTTTCAAGTTCTCATTCATGTTTCTCTTAGTTTCAATAGTTTTAATTTTTTCATTCTTAACTTTTTTTTTGTTTTTATTTGTTAGTCTGGCAAACATAAAGTAAATCACAACTCTATTGTATCAATCATTATGCGAAATAGAAGTTTTATTTATGCGCCATTTCCATATAGCTATAGCTATTTCAATAAAGTAAACGATATTTCTCACTCTATGCATGTGCTTGTTCGTTTGTGGGCCAATTTAAACATAAATCGTAGTTCATTTTGTTCGTATCACTCACTCCTCGATATTATTGCGGAAAATAATCTAAATTACGCATTAATTTATACTTAAGTTATTGAGAGATTTGTTTATAATAGCTCTTATAAAGGTAGGATTGGACTAAAAATATTTATAAGAATACAACAATACAACATTTGTCTTTGTTGCTATTATAACCATGGCCTAAAAATCCTTATCACCAAAGCTCATATCCACCAATAGGCTTAAAAAAAAAAACCAAACTTACGTGAAGTTTCTAAACAGTTCAAGAGAATTGTTCCTACCTTTTTAAGAAAAATTATGCCGGTTAACCAAAGTAGGGGATATTTAAACTTAGCCACACTAATATTATAAAGCAGTCTCTACCTTTAGTGTAACGTATGTGTATATGATTTTATCCTGAGCAGCAATTTTTTTTTAACTTTTGGGTCAAGTCTTAGCTTAAAACTTCTTCCCGATGTAGAGTAGCAAAGATCAAAATGAGGGTCAAGTTTTGCAACTTTCAACTTTGATTTGACGAAATATTACGTTTAATTTGTTAAAAAGCTCCTCGATTCCTTTATTATTCTTTCTAGGGAAACGCGTCCCGCGTCTCTTTTTTTACAATCTCGTTTTCAGTTTTAATTTGTACTTTTTAGTTAGGTTCTTAGTTTTTTAAGCTTATTTTTTTCTCCTTCATTTCTTTATTATTATAATTATTTAATAAACTATTCTGTTTATGTTCTTACTATTCATGTATATTACTTTTTGTAAATTTAGCGCTCCTTTTTATCTTCATAGTACTCTTTGGACTTAAGGCCGGAAAACATAGGAATTTAATAACTACTTCTACTAATTTAACTCTAATGTATTAACATTTAACTATGAACTCGGTCTTTACTTAAAAGAAAATACCGCATTAACTAGCAGCGTTGACGAAAAGGTTCACTAAATAATCCAATGAACAACCCGAGCGATATACCACTTTTCGGGCTGAAGGAATCGACAGCTTTCAGTCGTCCTCAAAACTATCAACTTTATATTAGGATTGAGTTACTATATAATTGCAAAACGTGGTGTCCTGAAAGATATATGAAATTTAAATTATAAGGTGTAAAATATCGTTTGGTGATGGTATCACTGCGACCATTTTCTCGTTTAAATAGTTTGTTCAAACTTTTGACTTGGAAAAGAAGTACTTGGATAGATACTTGTTATATACTTTGAAAGAGCGGGTCTTGCGTCACTCCTTTTTAATCTCAGTTCTTAGTTTTGGCCTCCTTGTCTTCCTAGTATTGTTCAGAGTTTTCCTAATGATTTAATCTTGTTCTCTTACGTTATTTTTTTTTAAAATAATGAATTGTTAAGTAGCTGCTCTTTTGCTCTTACTACTATTTCAAATATACGTTTTGAAGTTTTAGCGCGCATGATTATCATTATAGAATTCTAAAGGCCATTGTTCTCTTAAAAGTTATTTATTTATCTTATACTATCTTTATTCATCATTCCTGGGACTTTCTACCTTCGTAAAACTTTACGTTTATATTGGTAACAAAACAAGCTTTTTCTATACCTCGAGTTTGATATGCTATAAACTTCTTGCAGTTTTTGCCTTCGAAAATTAAAAGTAAAAGCCTTAACATCGCAAAAGATTTATTTTTTAAAATAAACACTAAACGTTTATCGCTATCCATTGGTATCGTCTTGAAATATAAAATAATATTAATTGCCCCTATTATATATTTAATCTGAAAACTTCAAGTTTGTTAATTAAAGACTTGTCAATTATTTAATACAAAAAGAACATTATTAGGTAGTTTGTAACTTTAGATACAGGTGGGAATCGTGTTAGTACTGGGATGGAGACTCCCCATTCTAGTAACTAAAACGTAGTAATAAAATACTCATTTAAAAACTAGGACGCTAGCAAAGCTATCAGAGGCATGATGCCAATTTAAACAAAATTTTAAATGTGGCAGAAAAAAAAGACTTTTTTCTATTATTAACATAAAAATCCATATAGAATATTTTTGCGAAAAAAGAAGGACTTTAAGCTATGAAGTGAAGGAACGTTTACATAAAAAGAAAGTATACCTTTTATCTTAATTTTTCTAGTTTATTTCTCCTTAGTATGTTTCGTAAAGGCCTGGTTTTATTATTGTTTTCTCTTTTTTAGTAAGAAGAGAAGGCGCAAAGTAAAGAGTAGGCGAGTAAATGCGGAACGGTATTTCAACAAATAATAAAGAATAAAAATAAAAAATATTGGTTTAAATAATGAAAAATTGTTATATTACTGTAACAAGGAGAGTGAATAAAATTCTTGGAATATATAGAGAGCGTAAGTAAATTAAGAGCCTGTAAGGAAGCTAACAAGAAATTCTGATGACTTTTACATATTAAACTCTTAGTGGATTCTTAATAATCTCAGCTTGTTAATAAAATTTCTCACAACACCTTTATGTAATAGAGGATGACTTCCATACAAATGTTCTAACTCTTTGAATGGTTTCTTCTGGACTAAAGCGATGGCTTTAATATGTTAATCACAAATCTAGCGCTTCATTTCTTATTAGATCAAGGCAAGTTATCAGTTTTATACTATAAAAAAATGAGGAAGTTGAAAACAAAATAATTTACATTTCTTTTAACTTGCTACGCCGTGTTTTACGTGCTTGCTCTCAAGCTTAAAATCTAATAACTTGCTAAAGGAAGAATAAGCCAAAACTGTAAATTTTATAACCTAAGTTTGCTGTAAGAAAAGACTATATTAAAGATTTTTTACTTAATAAAACAATGTTTTTACAAGTTAGCTAATGGCACCATTTTTTAAGGTCACTGACAGCATTTTGTTGACTGGATAAATGAGACATTTTAAGGTCCGCAACTATTAATCAATATAAAAATAAAGTTATCCTATAAATTATACTAAATTCCCACCTTAGTACCCATGAAACTCAACTCTAAACAGATTTTCTAATTAAGCAACGACCATATCTCCATACTGTTATGATCAAGATGTAAACAAGCAATTTAAATTAAAGAAATATACACAAGCATTTATTCCACTTTTTCAGTAACATAATAATGAATTGTAAAATAATCATAACTCATATTAAATGACGCTATTCTTTTTTAAAATTAATTTCTTTCTAAATATTCATTCCAGCTCAAAAAGTGCTAATCATCGTTATAAAGAAGCAAAAAGTCTCGCCGCCGCGAAGCATCTGGAATTAAATCGGCCAAATGGGCTATAACGGGTCGGACACGAGCGGAGTTTCCTATACGAGTTTCAAACATTGTGAAAAAGTCGCTGAGGGACAGACGCCCTTCCCTGTACCAATCAAAAAGTTGGAGAAAGGAAGTAAGCTCTCGAGGGTTAGAAAAGGCGGACGCGAGGGCTGGCCTAAGGGTTAAACCAGGTGATTCAGAGGAAGTGGGCCGTTTCGCGTGCTTATCGTTATTATTAAAACTATTAATAGTATTATTATTACTATTACTACTATTAGTATTATTGCTATTACTATTAATATAATTATTACTATTACTGTTATTATTAATATGCAAGTTAACTTTTATTAGATCTTGCTGCTGCTTTTGTTTATTTTTACTTATAACACTTTTCTCCTTAACGAAAGAAGTCGTTTTAAGAGAAGCGGGTGGGTTAAAAGATGCTTGTAAGCTTGAAGAAGGAAGAGGAGGAAACTCTTCTGCAATGCAAAGTACAATAAATACATTAATAATAATAACAAGTATTTAGCAAAAGTTGACTTCCGTAATATTGCTACTGTTTTTATATAAAGTGCCAAGGTAAGTACAGTTTGGAAACATAATAAATTTGCAACTAAATGATATCACTAAAAATAATGAACAGAGCTTAAGCGTGTGCGATGGGAGAATATGAAATGAGAATTTTATAATTAATATAAAAAATCCAACTTTTACATAAATAATATACAATAGTTGTTCCATAAAAATAAATAAATAAAAAAAATTAGATACACAAAACCTTTATACTGTATTATTACATATAAAACTTTAAAAATATTACTTTTTCCTTTTTTTTTTTCTTGTTAAACTACTTAAATTAATGGTAAGCTAACTTTTATTTTAAGTATTTCTTTAAGAAAATTATTACAAAGTCATTATATTTTTATTACTAGTATATAAAAAAACTGTTTTCTTTATTAATTATTAACTTAATAAGGAATATCACTAAAAGTTCAAGTTATTATAATAATTCAATTTTATGTAACTTAATGTATCTTTCTTTCTTTAATAATAAATAAATTAAAAAAATAAGTAAATAAAAGTTTTATAATTACATCTATACAAAATCTAATCATTTAAAAAAAAAAACTTTTCTATATAATTCTTACAAACTTTTCATTATTAGTATTATTATTATACTTCTTGTCTTACTTATAGTGTGAAGTAAAACTTCTATCCATATAATATAAAAATGACAACTTCTGTTATATAATTAATATTCTATTACTTTCTAGTATCTTATTTCTTTTCTTTCAAAGTTAATAGAAATAGAAAATCGTATATTTCCCTAAAATACTTTTTTTAAAATCAGGTTTCCTTATAAAACTATTATTCCATTTTATAACTATTATATAAATAATATTTGCAAGTAAATAAATATTTAAACTTAAAAAATTCAAAAAATTAAAAATACTGTTGAATTTTCATATACTAAAATTAATAAAATAATAATGAATTAAAAAAATTGTACCGTCAAGCGTTTTCTTTTTCACATGTTTGACTGGTCGATAAAGAAATGGCTTTGCGGTCGCGCCCGGAAGACTCGGGAATGCCACGGGATCCAATACAGACTCAAAGGAGCTCGGGGCTTACATAAAAAATTAATAATAATAATAATAATAAAAATAAAATAAATATAATAATTATTATGAATTATTAATATATAATTATAATATAATAACACTAAAATAGATATAAAAAAATAAATAATATAAATGTGTATAAAAAAATTATAAATTTTTATAAGAATATTAATAACAAAAAATTACATATAATAAAAAATAACATATGTATAAAAAATATATAAATCATACTAAATAATTCAATAGATAAGTATTAAAAAGATATAAATAGAATAAAACATATCAAAGAAAAAAATTAAAATAACAATAAGTAATTAAAAAAATGATATAAAAGTAAATATTTGTGTATTTATAAATAATCTTTATATTCTAACAATAATAAAAGTAGAATAATAGAAATTATTATAAAAAAATAATAAATAAACAAAATTCTTAGGATTATAGTATAAATACATATTAAACAAAAAAATACGTAACATTAACTCTAATAATATATAAAAAATTAAAAAAAACAAATCATCGTTAATAAATAAATAACACTTTCATAATTCATAAAAAATAAAAAAAAGTTGTGTATTCAGAATTATCAATAATAATAACTAAAGAGGTAACTTTAACAATTTATAATAAATAAGAAATGGATAAATATAGTACAAACGATAAATCTTCATTAATAATAAGAAATGAAAAATACAACTTTTATAGATATTATAAAAATAAATAAATAGAAAAATATAATATATAAATAAATATAAAATTTTTTATAAAGTAATGAAATACTAAAAAAACACTACAAAGAGGGATTATTATTATTTTATTATAAATAAATAAATAATTTATAATAAATAAATTAGTATGTATAAGTTTTATAGTCACAGCGAAAATAAAAATCAAATAATAATAAATATTAATAATTATAATAATAACTAAAAACATAAGTAAAAGAATCTAAATTAACCATCGTCAATTCACAAGCTTTTAGAAATCCAATAAAAAAACAAATTTACTTTAAACACTGAAAGAAAAAAAACTTTAAACTTTTTTTTTAAAAATAAATACTAGTTTCTTAAAAATCTTTCAAAACACTGCAAGAAATTTATTAGTACAGATATGTTTAATTTTTTTATTTTTTATTTTTACATTCTTTGCAATAAAAATCCTTTAGATAATCTAAAAATTAATACAAACTATTTTTTTCTTGAAAGATGTAAACTAGAATATATTTTAAACAAAAAAAATATTATTTTTTTATTCAACATTACTTCCTTCTCTATTTTTATAAACTATAAAAATACTTATTTAAAATTAGATATATATATATATTCTTATAAAAAATTAAAAAAAAATGTATATTTGAAAATAAATAATCATGAATACAATAATAATTATAAATACATGTTTCTATTAATTTGTAGATAAAATATTATATTATAAATATATTTATCAATATTAATAATTATATGAGAAATTGTAAAATATTCAAACTTTTTATAGATAAAAATTTTGATTATAAACTTTTTAATATATAATACTCAAAGTAAAATTTCAATAACATAAAATAAAGTTCTTCGAAATAAAATTCTTCATAAATTTTGTTTTTAAATATTTAATATTCACTTGAAAATAAAAAGAAGTCGAATATTTTCTTATCATATAAACATTTTATATAAATTTTTTTTTTGCTTAAACTTAATATAAAAAGAGAAATAATAAAGCAATAAAATCACAAAAAAAATAATCAAAGTTAAAATTTCCAACTAAAAAGTAAACCTGTTATAAATAAATAATAAAATTATATAATAAAAGTAGTAGCATTAATAAAAATATTTAAAAATTTTAAAAAATAAATTATTAAATATAATCTTTATACAAACTACCATTCATAAATTACTAATAAGATAACTCATAACTGTATTAATAGAGCAACAATAACCATAGAAAATATAGTTAAAAAATTCATATATATTTTATTGAAACTATTAAGTAAACTGACTAAATTTTTATAAATAGTATGAAGATTTTAAAAAAACCTTTCTCTTCTCCAAGTCTAGTATTTTGTGGAAGGTCGTTAGCACTTGCAGTAGTAGCTAAAAATTTCTTATTTCGATTTTTATTACGAGACTTTTCTTTTTTATTTCCAAAATCAAAATCAAGTTCAAGCAATCGGAGCTGTTTTTTTTGGTTACGAGAAGACCCTTGCATATGCATATCGGCAAGATGTGCCTTTTTCACAGATGTTTTAACCTCGGAAACTTGTCAATCACCTTAAAGAAAACTTTACCTTATACTCCATTTCCGTTTCAAAAACTATAAATTTTTTTTCTAAACATTCTTTATCAATACAAAGAAAATGCTTTTGAGAAAAATGTGACTCAAGCGCAGAATAAGTAACAAAGTAGGATTGGCCACCGCCCGTTCGGCGTGCACAAATGTGGCAACTGTAGTGTTTTTCTCGAAGATGGTTGTAGAGATCTGTTTCATCAAAATAATAATCCTAAAAATCAAACAAAATAAAAAAAATGAAACCCACTAAAGTAAATTTGTTATCAAAAAAGTCTAATACATTACAAAACTGACACAAAAAGTGCCCGCGATGCGCGCGATCACCCCTGTCTCCTTTGCGATAGTGAAGTTCGAGTTTTTCTTTGGTATAAAGATTTTGTTCACTGATAAAAAGATGAAGATGGGCTAAACACAGATCACAATAATATAGATCATGAGCAAGTTGAACGTGTTCCTAACATAATAAGAATTCGATAAAAAATCAATATTTAACTTTAAGTATTTTCTATTATAATGTAAAACACCTTCAAGTCGTTTAAAGAGTTTTCTTCCTTTTTACAAATAACGCAAAAGAAGGACAATAAACGTATTACTAATTGTTTAATCTTGTTTCCCCCGTAATAAATTTTATTGATGGGATCCCAAAAATGTGCTGCTTCGTTAGATAATAATCTGGAATCCATATTATAATCCTCATATTTAATTTTCAATTTACTGAAAAGGACATTCTCACAAAGTTGTCGGCAAATTGGACAGCTATAATTTTTAGCAATCACTCGTAAACGAAGGGAACATTTATAGCATACGCCGATATGGTTGCACTTACTAATAGCAAAAACTTCAATTCTTTCAACACAAAGTTTACACTCAGTAAAAGCCAAAGAATATGTATTATTTTTCTTACGTGGAGACCACAAAGGTTTCTTATAACATATACTCTCACCTAAGCCCGATTGTGTGTGTTGATTAGTATTTAATATTGACAAAAGATTAGAATTCTTTCTAAAATTTAAAGGAGCAGGATCTGTCTGTAATAACTGCGGAAGGGAAGAATTAGTGTCATGGACTGAACGATTTGACTTAATAAACTCTTTATACGGTTTTGATCCTCCAGAATAAGTTGGTTTTGGCCGAATTGTATTGTCCGTTTCTTGTTTATGGGTGTAATCCTCCATATTCAGTTTATAAAAATTTACACAAACAACCAAATAGCCAAAAATAATATTTCTCTACATATAATATAACAACGGTTTAAGGCTTATAGTTGATTAAAAACCAAAAAAAAAATTTAGCACTTTTTATACAATAGATATCAAATTCTTCTCAAAAACTGAGCAATATTGTAAAAAAAGGGACTTCGAATTCAGTGTTCCGTGTACAGAAAAGCCATCCATGCAATTATTCTTAAATCAGAAAAATATATATGCAAGAACCAATGAAAGAATGCCAAAGGCTTAGTAATTGTAATGAGCAAAGTCACATGCTTAAGCAGTTTTTCGATCAGTGTATTTTTCCAGTTAAAAAGCTTGAGGTAGGAAGTTTTCCGGTTTTTTAAATTGTGTAGCTACTTTCCCATTTTTATTTGAAAGGAGGCGAAAACTTTAATTGGTCCAAAAAACTTCTAAAAGCTTTAGAGGCCTTGATAATAAAAGTTTGTGGTTAAAAACTTTGAGGTAAGTAATGGAAATTGCTGAAAGTGAATTGCTATACATCCCTTTCTATTGGTTTTAGTCATAAAATGCTTTACGATCTATGAAGCTCAAAGGTTTTTACCTTTGAATTTAAATTAATGCTTTTTTTAGAATTTTTTGGTTTAACTAGATTTATATATATTTAAATTAATTATATAAAGTTTACAAGCAGTTCGATGCTGAATTTAAATTTACGAAAGCATTATAAACATTACTACTAGCAATACCAGAAAACATTTTTACATTCTGACTAGTGTCCAGTGTAGTATATAGTTCCAGAAGAAGACGATAAATTATTGCTCAGTTGTACTACGCAAAAAATATGTTCATGATTTTTAAGTTTTGTAAAGGTTCTGTAATATGTATAGCTTTAAAAGGTCAAGTCGGAAGAACACCTTATTTTTAAGGTTCTTGTCGGGTTAATAAAGCATTATCAGACCGGTAGATTTTTAAATTAAGAAAAAATTTGTTGCGGTTGTCCAATTAGTTTTATGACTTATATCGACAAAATAAATATTATCTGTACTCCAAATATTATTATAAGTAATTTCTTAGCACTATAGGTAATTTAGACTTTATAGTGCCCAACTTTTTGCAAAATGATTTGTTGTATATCTTAAAAAAAATTAAAAATTTATAGGCTTCTCTATTGCAGAAAAAAAGATATTACTAACTAAATAGGTATAACGCAATTTTAACTTGTTATGTTTTCTGCGAGCCCCAAGCAGGGAGACGCAAGGAGCAAAGCGCAGACGGTAACTTAGTATATCAAAAGCAGCACCTAATTCTCACCAGGTTGATGGGCCAAATTATTTTTCATTGTGGTAGACGACTTAAATTGAAGCCAACTTCCTTTTTCAAAAAGTTACAGCCCTAATACTTTTCAACCGATTGAAATTCAAGTGAATTAAGTAACTGGAAGGAGAATTTATAAAGTCAAAGGTACGGTAAAACCTTCAAGTAAAAAGGAAATATGTTTTTATTCGGCTTCATGAAGTTTTTAAGCCTTGTGTTCTTTTTCATCATTCTGTTAGTTTATAGTTTTTTGTCTTTCTTAACGGTATTAAATATCAAAAACACTCTAAAACTTCAACTTTCTGTCGACGTTAGAACATAAATTTCCGATGCAGTAGTTTCTATACTCTTTCAACAAAGAAGTAATAAGTATGAAATCCTACGCCTTACCTGGTCGCCTGAACTGGGCAAATAGAAATTTGGGTTTAACGTGTTACTTTTTACTTGAATTTTTTTTTGTGTATAAAATAATTACAAAGATTTCATGGCGGTTCGTGCTAAGAACTTCTGTCTTTTGTACTCAATAGATTAGGTTATTTAGTCGTTTGGGTTCGTGTTTAAATTTGAAATATTTGAAAACTTAAGAGTTTTAGATTATTCTAGTGGAAACGAAATTTATAAGGGCATAACAACTTTTTAACTATAACATTAAGTTTCTATAATCAACTAGTCAATAAGATTTATTAATAGTATAGTTTTGTATTAATAAACCACTTGAAAAGGGAAACAGAGAAAACAGAGTTAACGGTATCTATGGAACGCGTTAAAATTTAAAGTGTTATTTTTAATTGGAAAGAAAAAAGAATCCCTTGCTGTTTTCCCTCATAAAAGTTGCTTTCTTCAATTATAAGGTTATCAGGGCGTAAAAAAGGTACGAAGTTAAAGGCTCTATTTATCAAAGCCTAGTTTTTTCAGCTCTAAGTTTAATTCTTCTAAAGAGCTTTTAAGCGCCGCCACTTCGTCATCTTTGCCCGCACTTTTTGCCTTATTTAAGGTAAATAAAGTTATGTAGATAAAACATATTAAGGAGGTAATTGCACCTGTTCAATAAATTCTAGTAGTTGACTTCTATGTTCTATAAAAACGTCGGAGTCTACAGAACTGGGGCTTCCCCTTGACTATTGTAAAGTTTATTCAGTTAGTAAATCAGCAACGTTGCGTAAAAAGCAGATGCTTACAACGCACTAAAAAATATAACTAAACATAGTGTTAAGGAATACTATTTTTTGGCTTAAACACTTCACTTATAAGAGTGATCTATACATAAATCTACTTTTATTAATACAGAGACTTGCTGATTAGATAATCCGGAAGAAACAGGTTTTTTATTAAGAGGTTCTTTAGTAGGAAGACGCTGCAAAGTAGAGAGGCAAGCCTGAAGGTAAGTCACACGCATTATAAACTTTACAGGAATAAAAACTGTTAAAGCAAATATAAATAAAAAAATACATTTATATAAATTTGAATAGCCCTCGTAATGTTAAGTTGGACGATTTCTTCATCACCTAACAAGTCCTTGCAAGCTCTTTTATCGGAAGAGCTAAAGTTCTTTTGGGGCCCAATTGCGACAGTTGTGAGATTCTTACTGTTTCAGTATAGAAGTATATATAAAAAAGTTTCGGTAACTTTGCAAAAAGTCAACGTAAGGCTTTATGCCTAATGTCGTGTAGTGCTTCGATGTAGGCAGTGATTCTGGTTTTTATTTTTTTTCCCAAAGCAAAGTCTTCCGCAGAAGAGCATTTTCTTTAAATGATATGAAAAAAATGGCGCATTATATAAATTCTTTTTAATACTTGCAAGTTATAAGCTCAGCCTGAGCAATTAGTTTATCGCAATCTCTTTTTAGACGTTCCCACTTCTATAAATAACAGAGAAGAGAATAATGAGACGCCCATAACTACAGGGTTCTTTGAAAAGTATTGGTAACACTAAATTGAAGGCATCGTTAATTTTTAAGAAGAAAAATTCCTTTAACAAGATGATTACAAACTTAAACAGAAGAATTCAAAAAAAATCGAAAGTTATTGCAACTCATGATAACTGGTATTCACGGAAAACTCCGGTTTACGCAAGTGGACCGAATCGGCTCATACCTTGCAATTAATTTAGTGCTGTTATCCTATTATTCTACTACTTAATATTATTTGTGGTCTTAAAAGTACTAGAAAAATAGATATATATTTTTTACAAGCAAGACGAGACTTAACGCAAAAAAAGGCGAGTAGAAGCCATAATCACGGGGAATCTTGATCGTACCTGATGCGCTTTTACAATAGCGGGTTGCACGTGCTCATTATGAGCTCGCTGGCGACTGCGAAATTTAAGGGCTCGTGCACACTCAAGGCACGTGAGCAACTTGGAATGTTTGTACAACTTTGCGAGATCAAGGGAGCTTAGAGAGATCGTTGGGCTCCTAGAACGTGGGGGGTGGGCACCCTGGTCATCGCTTAGTGTTCTGAGCGACAGTGTACTATTTTTCTTGAAGCCTATTGGTTCTTTAAGAACTGACAGTGTGGAGTAAATAGAAATAAGAATCTCTTATAATGCAAGCAAATATATATTTTTTTGACCAAGAAGATCAGAATAGCGTAGGACAGTATTGCAACAATAATAGCATCTCGTTAGCCCACAAAGTCTATTAACAACTCTTATTATTACTATTTTTAATTTAAATTATGAATATACCGGCAGTGATGCTTTCTAAGCAATATAGTGAACGAAGCTCCGCAAAGAGAGCACCGAGTAATGTTGGAGTCGTCTTCCCAGGGGATAACTTGTTTTTCTGCAGAATTGATTGGTTTGAAATTATATAAACACTATTTTGAAGGGCATTTTAAAAAAGAGAATGTTCAAAATTTTATATAAACAATATTTTTATATAGAAAAGCAAACACCGATGGGCGTTCTTCTGAATTGAAGAATAGTTGATATACTCTTATATTCTTCATTTTCATATGCTTGGAACAGCTAAGCACAATTTATAATTATTATTATAATAAATTTCAAAAAATTGATTTACCCTTTCCAATCTGCCTAGTAATTTATTAGCTTCGAGTTCTGAAGATGTTAAAAAACTTTTGCGGAGTTTACTATATATATTTGTCTTATCTCTAATAGCGCCTTATAAAGTTATTGAAGTTTTAAAAATTACTAATAAAGTAGCCTACTACTATTAGTAATAAAACTTTATAACAATAATCGACACCTATACTATTAAGAGGCTGCCCAGTTATGAAACAGGATTTACAAACGCGGCAAGAAACTCCAAATTCTTGATCGGGAATCTTTTATGAAAGAAAGAAATTTATGTTTTTTTATTGTTGTATAAGTATAATTAAATTTTTAGTTAATAATAGTTTTTTTAAAAGTAATATAAAAACTGAATAGCATAATTGTATAAAGAAAACAATACATTTTGTAACTGGGTTACTTTAGTGTTAAAAAAAATAACTTTTTAAAAATTGATATAAAACTACTGCACGCGCATCCAGTTTTATTTTCCAACGACAGTGTTCTTCGCAGAAGATTCCACCACATCTTCGACAGTGATGCTTTTTGTTAAGCAGAGAAAAACGGATCTTCAACGGTTTATTGTAATTATTATAGGAACTTAGAGGGAGTCGTTTTAAAAATTACTTGACAGGTTGGCTCCATGCAATTAAACTTATTGTAAACCCAGTGAGCTCGAGTAACCTGAAAATCATTGTATCGTACTTTAATAATTTGCAATTAAAACTAGCTAGTGACTAAAGTACCATAGTTTCATTTAATGGCGGTAACGAAGTTTTTAATGCTTTATGAAATAAATCTATTGTGTCGGTTTTCCGGGAGTGTTCTACTTCTATATGACGGCGTAATCCGGCAACTGAGAGAAAGCTAGTCACGCATTCAGGGCAAAGAAAACCTTCTTTTTTGGTTAAAAAAGACTCTGACACACTCATAATTCATACGTTTAAACTAATAGTTTGGGAATAGCAAACATTGGCTCAGTAATCGCAGGCGTTATCGTATCGCTTGATCAACTAAGAGGCGAGGTCTCTTTTCCTGGCGTCCCCCATAGATACTTAAATGTTTCAGGGTATATTTTATAATGACTTTGTATATTAAAGAGGTTTTCGCAATTTTTATGACGCAAACCTTTTTGTGTAAGGTATGTGAGTATATTGTATACGAAAAGTGAAGTAGATACTTAAAAAGACAGTGAATAATTTATGGTTGTAGAAGTTAGGCAGTTATCATGATGTGATACGATTTCATTTTTTAATTAATACTATCTTGGTTATAAAGTCTCAGTAAAATTTGTCATAATTTAGTTTTTTACAAAAAGTTTATGGCCAAGTAGGGCGGAGTTATACAAACCATGAAGAGGGGCATATCGGCTTTTTTTGTTAACTAATTGAGCGCGACCGGAGTTTGAAGCCAGAACACTTCTTGTAAATTGTGCATTACCATAACCATTTTTTCAAATAGCCTTATTCAGTGTAAACACCCTTTTTGCCAAAAAATAGTAATGGAAAGCAACCGTAAAATAATTATATAATAATTTTTTTATTGCCTAAGTGAAGACTTTGCATTAAGCTTTTAGATATCTTAATAAATCGAAAAGTTCCTAAGATGAGATACTTTTTACTGCGTTTCAGCCTTATAGAGATTTGTTCTAGAGCTTTTCTGTTAATACTATAGATCTCTTCGCATCTGCCTTTCTACATATGTACGAATAAAAGATAATCTTTAATGTTATATTTGCTTTTTAACATGCTGTATTTATTACATGTAATGCCGATTTCTTATTTGGTTATAGATTATATACTTGTAAGAATAACTTTTATTTTGTATTTTATGGATCGCAATAGTAATCATTACCATATACTAATTTATATTAACCAATAAACTTCTCTGCATAAAAAATTAGGCGATTTATAGAAAAAAATATTGCTGGCGATAAGTTAGTGCTGATTGCGAAGGCTTCCACCAATACCATATAAAGCTATATTAAAATTTTTTAAGGATTAATTCGCTCTACGAGTTAAGGGTTGCATGCATCGAGAAAGAAATATCTATGCAAGATAGAAAAAGTAATCATGAAAAGCCGGAATCAAGTAGTGGAAGCGAAGATGACAATCATGTAGTTATTATTGAAAAGGTAGGAGTGAATGCCTTTGACTACGATGATAAAAAAAAGAAAAGAAAAAATAACAAAAATATATTTTTGAATAGCAGCGGGGATAGCTTAGATGAGTTTGGTGAGCAACGGTGTAGGATTAGGTTATTTAAATTTTGTATAAAAAGAAATTTCAAGTATCGTAAAACGACTTTATTTTTATTAATTATATTATTTTTACTCTTTGCCTTCGCAATATGGAAAGACTTTATTTTGTCTAAAGCACGGCTTTTAAAAAAAACTGCGAACGTTTTTAAAAAAAATGAAATATTTACAACTAAAACCAGCGAGCTAAATGATATAAATGCGAAATTTGAAACTAATCCACGATGGGACTTTTTAAAAGCTGGTCAGCAAGCCGGTTTTCCGGACGAGCTTCTAATGAACACTAAAGAAGTGATAAACGACGCACCTCTCTATGAATTAATTGTGCCAAAGAGCAGAATGGTGATTCAGTAACTTGTTTCGTCTACTTAAGAAGCTATAAAAAATATATAAATTAAATGTTATAGATTTCAGAATCTCTATACGAAGATGACTATCAATATTTAAAAAAAAGGTTTGACAACGACAAGAAAAACCAGAATTTTATAGGATTCAACCCAAACAAAGAGGTAATTTTTTTATTACTATTTATATTAATTTTAACACTTTTAATATATTTTATACTTATTAACAACCCTTAGCCGGCGGTTTTTGTGCTATACAGGACAATTGGTAATGATTTACCTCCACGTCATTCAGTCGGGCAAACTTATTCCAATGTCAAGGTATATATACTTCTTTTCCATTGCTTTTCATTCCATTTTTAATTATTAAAAACAGTGTTAGCCACTGGTTTCATTTCTATTATAACCCGCATTGATGAGTAAAGCTCAAAATTTAAGACCGGCGTGTGTCTAATACATTTACAGCTTTGCAATAAACGATTTAAAAAAGATTCGTTACATACCTCTCGTAGGCAATTATGTTTTATTTTAAAAATTGGTCAAAAAAGCTTATAATTAATAAACAAAAAAGCACACTTTTAAGATGGTAATATTTTTAAACTGCAATTAATTTCTTTGTTTGTAACGAAAGAGTTCAATTACTAACTGCATAACTTTTTTTATAAATAAACTAATTAGCTAAACAATATACAGACATTTGCATCCCTAAAAACTTGATTATGCACAAGCTTACATTTAAATTAATAAATTATTCAAAAAATTCTCACTGAATATTTTTGTAATGCTCGACATCTAAAATAATTGATATTATATAATGTTAGTAAAACTTTTATCTGTAGGTTTTTTGAATTTTTATTTACTTACTTTTTGATATTTAGTTTATTGTTGAAAATGAAAAGCCACTAAAAGGTGTTAAAAAAAGATGGATTGTTAATAGAGTTGTAAATCGCACTGAAGAGAAGCGAATTTTAAAGGTTAACATCATTTATACTTTAATTGTCAATTATATTTCAGGGTTATAGGCTCAACTCATATTTGTCGGTATTCCGTATTATTACAGCACCAAGCATAGAATTTTTTTTACAAACGTACTTTCATAAAGCTCTTAGCTATGCCTTGTAACTTATATTCTGTGAAATTTGCTTTTTATAGTAAAGCGTCTCTCAGAAATTTATATTTACTTAAAATATTTATTGTAATTATTTGGTATCGCATCGACTAGATATTCCGTTAGGCTACCTACTATACATTATATATGTAAGAATATATATAATAATAGTAAAGAGAGACCGTATATAATCATGAGTAAAATTGGTCTAATTAAAATTTCAAGTAAGTGTTAAAATTATATAATAATATTATTCCTTTTATACAAAAAACCTAACAATGTGTGTTATCTTTGATGTGAATGACATTATTTTTTTATTCATATATAAATTTAATAACCTAATTTTTAAAATTGGCCTAATGCTTTATACCTTTAATTAAATATTTTTATTTAACCATACCTTCTTTTTAACAACCAGTAAAGGTTTTCATTTTTTTTTTTAAAGTTGTTAGAAGATTACAATCAAACGTATATCCACCTTCCTTTCATACTGACGGAGTACGCAAAGATCTCACTCGATCTAGATTTTTCTGAAAACGACGTTTACCATCAAATGTACTTAAAAAAGCCATCATCATTAACTGCTAAAGAAAACGCTATGATATTGGTCTTTTATACTTATATATAATTATTAGTAATCATAATTATCGGTTTTCTAATCTAAAGGATCGCATGTTTCACTATAAAAATCTGTATACTATGAACAATAATGGAGCCAGGAACCTAATGATAGAGGAAGGCATTAACGAAGGCGCTGAATGGATCTTTCCTTTTGATGGAAATTGTTTCTTTAAAGAAGAAGTCCATATAAATATTTAACTGTTAAATTTTTTATGACTTTAATAACTGAATAAATTAATTGTCGTTTTAAACGAAACTTGAATTTATATCATATTTAATTATTTATAGTTGACATTATTCGTATGTTTTTTTGCTTACAGGCTTGGGATGAATTAACTAAAGAACTTCTTAAGTTTGGCCCTGAAGTCAAGTATGTTACTATTCCTATGGCCCGCATTGTCAACAACTCTGCCCTTCTAAAAGAAGATTATCAGCTATACGCTGTGGAAGAGCCTCAAATCGCTTTTAGAAGAACATCGATAGAAAGATTTAACGAAAAAATGAGGTAGTTTGCTTCGCAATTTAATACATTTCATTAAATTTTTTACTCGTTCAATAAAGATACGGAAGAAGACCGAAAGTCGAAATGTTATGGCGGTTGAAAGTTCCAGGCTCGTGGGATCGCTGGCCGAAGAACACCCCTTGGGAGCACGAGGATTGGAAAGTTTCCAATGACCTTCCACCGAACGGTGTGCCTAGTGTCGGATGGGTAGCACGTTTGTATTCGGGAAAGTTGACGCTGGAACAAAAAGGTCAAATTCGAAACCGAGGGCTGATGCGTTCGGAAGGCATAGAAAAGTTGCTGGTGCACTCAGATGAGCGTCTGCTTCGCAACTATTATAAATTTAATCCCAAAGACAGGTGCATTATCGTTAACACTACTAGTGGTAAGCTTGACGATTATTTATAAATAGACTGGTTTTTTATAAAGAAGATGTCATGCATCAATTAAGAGAGGTTTATAAAACCGAGGGGAAAGACAAAAAATTGGAGAAGTTGATTTCAAAGTTATTAAACTGCGCTGAAAGCGCTTTAAATAAAAAAGTGGAATCAGGCAATTAAATTTAAGAGTGCTTTCAGTGATATTATAATGACTTTAACACTATACAGTCACCGACAAATTATACCTCCCACCAAGTAACGATAAGCACGACTATTTTACGCCCGCCCCTTATTTTTGGCCCAATCCGGCCACTGCTGATGGACTACCTTATATTAAGAAGGACGGAGAAAGAATTGCCGGAACTGTTTTATATGATGAGCATAGCAACCGCTACGATAGAAGTAGACTTGCTTCTCTTTTCGGTTATTTTATTCTCTGTAAACCAAACTTTAGTTGATGACAATATTATTTAAAGAATTTATAGACATAGTTACAAATGTAAGCAGCTATTGCTTTTATAAGTGTAATTTTGTTAAATTAGTTAGGAAAACTATTATAATAACTATTAAACTAATAAAACAGTATACATATACGACTAATTCTTTTTTTACTCTTATGATGTTATATAACTTCCAATAGGAAATGTGACTTGCTTGTCTTTAGCTTGGTACTTCACTAACGACCCCCGCTTCTCAAGAAAAGC